AATGCATTGGTCTTTCACCTTTAGTAACTTGGGTATCGGTACTAGTGCAGGCTAAATTTTGTCTCACCTTAATGGTCATTTGTCTGTCCACATCCCCGAGCTGTCACGCTGCCACACAATGGCAGAATTTGATGAAGGTCCAAGACTTGATAGGGGAAGAGCTGAGCCAGGCTTCAAGTGCTTTGGCATAATTGTGTGACAGCTTTGCAAAGTGCAAGTTGATATTGGCAGCGGGCATTTTCTGTCCTAATCACCTGTTTTGTCAGAACAGGAAGGTGGTGCTCCTGAGCCCTGGCAGGTAGGGCTAGTGGAGGAGTGGGATTTGCCAGTCTTGAGTGCATTTATTGGTTTGGATTATTCTCAGTAAAACTTGTGACCTGCCACTTTGGACTGTAAAGAGTTCTTCTAAACTGGTCCAGTGTCACTTCATTTTGTTGTTCCAAGCAAAGCTAATGCCTCTGTCTTGTGACAGTCCTGTGACATTGTTGTGCATGTGACTTATGTTGTACTTGATTGTTGTGACTTCATCTATTTTTTCCTCCTAATTGCTAAGGTGGTTCCTCTTACTGTGACTTGAGGGCATTAAGTGAGGGTATAGAACAAGAACTGTCTGGGACACCTGGACAGAAGTGAAGAAGAATGCTATTCATGGAGCATGAATAAGTGTGTAATTCAAAGTCACTTTAATGAATATTGACTAAAATGCAGGCTTTGAAAGGTTGGCACACTTTCAGCTATGTTTGTTTGCAAATACTGGGATTTTAACAGCTGTGAGACCAGCATGTCAACAACAAAATTGAGATTATTTTTCCCCTCTTGTCCTTGCAATGTTTTGACTCTTCCTGGTTTGATGCAATGGTTCTTTTGTTCCTTCTGTATTTATAAATGAAGCACTTTTTCAGTGCTTCTAAACTAAAGTCTGCTTGGTTAGAAATCAAGTGGTTGGAACATTTTGATTTTTTTAAAAGCATATTATTGATGTTCTTTACCAATGTTATCAATTACATGCTGTAAATGGCACTAATGCTTTTTGGTGTTAATATTGAGGACCAATATTTCAATGGGGTTTTTTTTTGTTCTTGCATTGTCCCAATTGTTCTGACTTTTTTTTGGCTTGAGGTCCTTTAAGTAGACTGAAGATCCCTTTTTGAGTAATACTGAAAGAATGCATCTTACAAAAAGAAGCATAAGCCTCGTCTATGAAAATGAAAGCTGTTGAATGGGTTATTGAACTATCTGGGTGATCAGGATGGGGGGAGTATGGTGTTTATAATTTCTGTGGTGTTAGACTTTGATCATTTAAAAATATCTGTACCACAACTTAACGCTTCAATAAAAGTTCGCTTAAATTGTTTGTAGTGATGATCTAGCAATTCTATCCTTCACTCTCTTCATTCTTTATGGTACCAGATTGTTTAATTCTGAAATAGACTTGTGTCCTTACTGTCCTAATTTGCACTGCTCCTGTAGGGGATGCATCTCAACACACTGGCAGTTTAAAATGAGGCAGCATATCAAATGAAGCCAAGTGAAAATGTTATGCTGTTCTTGAAACTAAAACTGTTTTTCTAAATGAACTCAAAAATCTGTTGTCTACATTTAACCTGTATCTTTTTCTTGAGCATTAAATATCTTGAAATGGCTTTCTCAATTAAGACAGCTGCTTCTAAGTAACAAACTGGCATACATTTGTGCACTTAAGCTTAGACTGGCTTTGAGAGTTCAAGGTGAGATTTATCTCTTAAGCTGAAGTAGGCAGGTACCTAATCTAGATAGTAACCTAGACCACAAGCTAGAGGCTAGCAATGTCAGTGCTAAGCAGATGCAGCCAGCATGATTGAAAATTCACTGAGTTCATGTGACAAGTCCTACAGGAAGAGCAGCTTCAGTTTAATCACACCTGCAAAGCTCCAGCAGTGCTGATATTCCCCAGAGTCACCTAAGTATTGTGTTGGTATTGGAGGTCTAAAACCTTTAAATTTAGTCACCCAGAACCTTACCTGTGATGTTTCATATCTCTAATGGTGTTCTGGATAGTAAATAGTAACTTGTAGTTATTTCAAGTATGTAAGACTTTTTAAAAAACCTAACAAATTCTGTGAGAATAAAAAATTCCAATTTGCAGCATCAAGAGATCATGTTTTAACATTGTTAGCCATGACAAATTAGCAGTAATCTACCTCTGAAGGGTACTTATGGAGCTGGTGAAATAGCTTGTCAAACCACTTTTAATTATTTAGCAGCTGTCCTGGTTAACTGGAAAGGTCCCAGTTTGCTGGAGGGGTAGCAAATGTGATGCCCACCTACAAAAAGGACCACAAGGAGGATCTGGCAGCCTTGTTGCTAGGGAAGGTCATGGAGCATGTGATACTGAGCACTCACACAGCATACACAGGGCAATACACAGGGCCAGCATGTGTTTGTGAAAGACTGGTCTTTCACAAGCCCTGTCTTGTGATTGACCAACCTTCTCCATCTATGGCAAGCTGACCTACTCAGTGGATAAGGGGAAGGTGGATGGTGTCTCTCTGGTCTTCAGTAAATTCTTAGATGCTGTGTTGCAACATACTGGAGAAACTGGGTGTACTGTTTGCTGAGTGAAAAAAAACAGGCTGGGTCATCAGACCCAGAGAAGGGGGTGTGTGCCACATCCAGCTGGTGGCTGGTCACCAGTTATGTTCTCCAGGGCTCAGTGTTGTGGTTGCAAAGCTGGTGGTGTCTCATCCTGTGGCAGGGGGGGATCTTTTAAGTTCCTTCCAATCCAAACCATTCTATGATTCCATATTAGACTGGGGATGGAGGGGATGGGCAGGCTGAATGAAGGTAGCATGATAGGGGCAGGAAAGATCATAGAGCAGTTCTGTGCCTGAGCACTCTCATGTCTTTCAACATGGGGCAGAAAGGGAGATGCTGATGCCAGTGCTGGTACCGAGCCACTTGAATAGGCTCTAAAAAACAGTGTTTTTCAATCCTAGATCTTTACTGTGGTGTGTTGATGCCAAAGAGATGACACTGCTCTGGTACTTATATCTGGGTGAGATGACTCTAGAAACTACTGGCTGTCAGTCTGGGTTCTGCTTTGGTGGTGCAAGATAATGTATTGGCAGAAATGTTGAAGCTTGCTAACTGGGATTGTGTAAACTCAGGTTTCCCTAATAATAATCCCAAAACCAATGCCACCAATATTGAAATGTACAAGGTCAGAAATAATGCTGAGGATATGCTCCCAAGGTGTGGAGTTCTCCCAAGCCTATTTCAAGTTAACTGTTCAATTTTGTTCTATTGCTTGTTATACTTACATTGTACTTACAATATACTATATGCTTTACTTACAATACTGCTATTAGATTTTAAAAAATTAAGCAGGCCCTAGAGAGTCTTGTTTCTGCAGCTGCCTGAAAGCCATATCTTTATATAAATTTTACATTCTCTATAACATGCTTAGTTCTGCCTTTGGCAACTACCATTAATTTTAAATATGTATGTACAAGTGAAATATGTACAGTCACTTTTAGGAGCAAGATGAGACACATGAATACCATAAGCTCAGCATTTTTCATTCCTGGATTAGCCAGAACGTGAACACACATTTTTGTAGCATGTAATTCCTAATGCAGGCACTTTGCCTAATCCCTGACTCTAAATTATGTCATTTATAGCCTTGCTGTTGTTTTCCACTTATCTTTTTCTAGTTTATATTTATTCTTCTCAGTCCATCACTCTAAATTATTCTTAAATACTAAGATTTCAAAATAGCATGTAATGGGCTAAATGGGCAGATGCCCATTTAAAGACAGAGAATCACAGAATTATTTGGGTTGGAAGCCACCTTAAAGATCATCTGATTCCAACCACCCTGCCATGGGCTGGGACCCCTTCCACTAGACTGTCTTGCTCAAAGGTCCTTCCAGCCTGGCCTTGAACACTTACAGGGATGAGGCATCCTCAGCTTCTCTGGGCAACTTGTTCCAGTGTCTCACCACCCTCGCAGTAAAGAATTTCTTCCTAATACCTAATCTACACCTTTGCTTATTCAGTTTTAAGCCGTTCCCCTTTGTCCTGTCACTACATGCTCTTGTAAATAGTCTCTCCCCATCTTTCTGGTAGGCTCCCTTCAGGTACTGGAAGGCTGCAGTTAGGTCACTCAAAGCCTTCTCTTTTCCAGGCAGTAAATCCAAATTTTTACAGCCTTGCCTCACGGGAAAGGTGACACATGACTAATCGCCTTGATATCCCTCCTCTGGACTTGCTCCAACAGGTCCATGTCCTTCCTGTGCAGGAGACCCCAGAGCTGGTGCAGCCCTGCAGGTGGGGTCTTACCAGGGCAGGGCAGGGCAGAGGGGCAGAATTCCCTCCCTTGCCCTGCTGGCCACGCTGCTTTGGATGCAGCCCAGGACACGTTTGGCTTTCTGGGCTGTGAGTGCACATTGCCAGCTCATGTCCACCCTCTCATCCACCAGCAGCCCAAAGGCCTTTTGGGAGGACTGCTCTTGATCTCTTCATCCTCCAACCTGGATGACACAGGTCCAGCACATTGCACTTGATCTTCTTAAACCTCATAAGATTCCCACAGACCCATTCCTCAAGCTTGTCCAGGCCCCTCTGGATGGCATCCCATACTTCAGATGTGTCAACTGCACCACTCAGTTTTGTGTCACCTGCACTTTTGCAGAGGGTGCACTCAATCCCTTCATCCATGTCATTAAAGAAAATACTAAATAAAACTGGTCCCAATATGAACATCCAATATTGCCCTCTGCATTAGAAAGGTGTGAAGTTGTGTCACACTACGATACAAAATAACTCACACACTTATACTAAGATTAAAAGAGCAAAAGGAAGTAACTTTTATTTCTGACCTCGCGGTATATAGAACTCTAAAAGTGACAGTGGATTGGAGGATGAAATTGCCACTTCTCCAACTACACTGGTCAAACCAATAGTCCATCAATTCTCTCTTCCTACAAAGAAGAATGCAAAACTCATTATTTACATGAACAGTGTGTGAGAACTCTAGTAAAAATATGTAAACATCAGAAGGTATAGAAATTTTTTGAAAGAACTTTAAAACTTTTAAAAGAACAGGGCAACAGTTCTGGCTTGAGTTTGCAAGGTAGCTAGAGAAACTGAACTTTCAACTCTTATTTCCACTAGAACTGATCTGGCTCCAGAGTCTAATTTCCATCTTCAATTTCATTGTTTTACTTTACTGGGCAAAACGAAGTATTTGGTACTTGTTTTACACTACTAAAACTGCTGCACCAACAAAGCCATAAAGCAACAAAGAAAAACCAGCATAGGGTTGAACAGAGTTGAAAGTTGCAGTAACAGGACTAAGTTTCAGCTTCTTCTCTGTGTGTACAGGAATTACACAAATGTAACATAACAAGACAAAATGTTCCAAATCCATTGTTGTTGCTCAGAAACTTGGAGCAATTTGGTGCCTCTTCATCATCTGCTTCTTCCAGAAGAGGCACTGGCCTCTGTGCCTGCCAGAGATTATTTATTGAAACACACCATATGACAGCTCCATCAACACACCAGCCACTGTAGCTTTACAGCCATCTCCAGTCCCTAAATTTGGACTTGTTTCTTTCAAAGAGGGACTTGCTAAGTACCTGTCAGCTTGACTAGATTCATCTTTAACAGCATTGACCTTAAAAGTTAGGAAATACTTAGCCAAATACAAGGTCAGATTTCAAATATAAAGTTAGAATCCAAGCTATAAAAAGGTAGATTAAACTAAAGGATTATTTCTTAGCTGCTGTGATATTTTGCAGCCAGAACCCCTAACAGCCTAGGCAGCAGTAACACATGTATTCCATGCTATTTCAGGATGAAATTAAAATCTAACCAGCTGTGGTCTAATGGTAACCCTATCCAAACTCTTTTTTTTATTGAAGTATCCTCAATACTGTTAAAATATCCTGCGAGACATGTATCATCAGGTCTATTCATTGTATGTTCACTTGGTTAGGCTTGGAGACTTGTACTCTTTCTAGGCTGCATTTTTCCTAAAGCCATATTATCAGCTACATTATAGGTAGGATGCTCTATCCAAACAATCTCTCTCACAGCCCAAATTTACCAGTTTCAAGGGTTCTTACAGACATGTATTTTTCAGATAGTGCAGAAGTTGTTTTTTCATCTTATTTGATGTTCTAATATTTAATTGTTTCTAATACTCAAATCTTAGAATCTTATTTAGAGGGAAAATCTGATATAAAACCAAAAGTATTGATGAAGTTGCTGATTTAAATAAAGGCCTGATTTATTTATTCCCCTATACTGTTGGGAAATATGGGAGGGACTTAGAGGAAGAGGACAGAAAAGTAAGAAAATTACTCATTCCCCTTACAGAAGGTATATTTTCCCTAATGTGCTGTAGTGAAAGCTGGTATATAGGAAGCAGATAAAGCTGCAAAGGCTTCAGGGTGTAATTGCTGAAGCTACAGTGCTTACAACTGTGTCTCAGTGTCTACAGCAGTGCCTCAGTGCATACTGGGCATGAAGCTGATGGGGCTAGTAAAAGCAGAAAAGCAAACAGACAAACGGCCAGCGTTGTAGTTGTGTGTGCTCTTGATTAATATTGGTTTTAATGTTAATATTCCATTGGTTCAGCTGTGCTTGCACTGGTTTTAGGCAGATAATCAATTGTAAATTCATAGGTTTTCATGTTCTAGCTTTAAGCACGGTAAAAAGTTCATTTGTAGTTGTACTCTGTTGTTAAGTGCCATGACATGAAAAAGGTGGAGTTTATATTTGTGCCTTTCAGTTCTTCCATTTAGTGTGCTGCTACATAACAGGAAGATATATTTTCTGATTACCTGCTCTCTTAACATTGTAATCTCTTAAGTACTTAATTCCTGAAATATTTAAACTATGCAGACCACCCAGAAGGGCTCAGCAGAGAAGTTTCAAACCAGTAAATTTCTACTGCTCATGTTACTATGTCAAGCCATTGGTAAGAAATGAATCAACTACTTGAAAAAGCTATCCTGTTTGATTTTTCACTAAGAGAATAGTCCAGAGACACAGAAATCATATTTAAACCAGCTTTAATAAAACTGTCTTTACTCCTTTTTAAAGACTTGTAATCCTAGCTAGTCTTACTGAATTTGGGTAACTGCCATCTCATTGAGCCACTGCTCAATTTCTTGTAGTAGTCAAGGCAAATCAATAGACAAAAAAATAGATGGTTACAGAAACAGATGTTCAGTCCATACTGAATATCTCAAAATACTCAGTTTTTTCAGTTTATGTGATGGCAACTGAAGAAATTTTTACAATCTCTGTATTACACATGTATTCCATGTGTAATACACACAGTTATATATTTATGTAATTATGGAAAACTATAAACGACACCTAAAAAATAAGTAATTCTAGACTACTATTTTTGTAGCAGTTCCTTAAGTTTTATTATTTTGGAATCCTTTATTTTCAAGTTTGTTTAAGACTCCATAGGCGCTTTGAATTATTTTGATTGCCCTACCTGCAAATCTAACCAAATTGCACTCTAGCAGTGAAGCCTGAGCTCTGAGACTATGGTGGGAAGTTTCTGTTGTTCCAGGAACCATACATCCCATACACTTTCTTAATGGGCCTCTAGCCATCCCCAGAAAGATATATTTTAATGCGTTCTGGAGTGAAATGGGAAGATTTTAAGTCAGGCCTTTTTGCAGATGCTGGATCATTCCTTCTGCTGCCTCAGGGACCCCATTGGAATCAATGGAATGGTTACTTGTATGCTGAGAACAGAAATGTCACATGCGTCTCCCCCTTAAAAGGATGTTCTGTTCCATACAAAAAAAAAAATCCATGCAAGGTTTTACTGTACTGATAAGCAGTCTGGAATACACTTAAATCTGATGTAATCTGAAACCACACAGGAAGACAGACAACTCTCTACATGCTTTCAGGACCAAGTGGGAAGGAGATATGACCTATAAGTCTTCTTCTAGAGCCCTGGGCTGTTAGTGAGTCATGAGGACTGCATGCAGGAATGGAAGTTCTTACTCTTTTCACAATCCTGTAAGCCAGTTAATACAGCATGGAAATAATGGAATTTACTTCATTTCACAGAGGCACCAGTGGCAACTAGAATGTTAGAAAAGGTGGTAACATGGAGAGGCCGAGCACAGTGATCCTTCATTGGTAGTTACCCTAAATCCACAGTATTATGAGAATTCTTTTGATGAGACAATCTTAAGGCTACATAAGAAAAAAAAAATATTCTAAATCAGGTCAAGCGATTTGAACTACTCACCCTCTTCTGAGTAACCAAAATGACACTGATTAAAGACACCAGTGTAAAGATGGAATAGTGTAGAAGTTGAATATTTTTTGAAGCTTTTGCTGTCTCCACCAGTGAAAATACTCATCATAAGTATCTCTTGTTTCAGTGCTGGATTAGTTTTATAGTTCCTAAAATTCTTGAGCACAAATTCAGGGCTGTTGCCTGTTAATTCTGAGCTCATTAGAGAAACTGAAGGAAAAGAGAAATGTTGGCAGTGACCAGTGCTCCTGTCAGCAGTGCCAGTTCTGTAGCTCTTGCCAAGCACACAATCCTTTACCCAGACTGGTCCAAAGCTGGTCTTTCCAGTAGTATCTTTCCATCTGGATTGCTCCCAAAAGGAAGATGACAGAAGGGTACTTGTTATGCTTTACCTTGCCTTTTCTGGTTTCCAGAGTGTTACTGGCTGGATAAGCTTAAAGGAACTGAAATGGTGCCAGATACACATCATTATGTGTTTTAACACACTGAATACAAGGGAGAGCAAGTTTAAAGTGTTAATCTAGCTTCTGCAAGGGGAAAAACTCACCTGCTTCCAAGGGACTGGGCATTCTTTCATGCACAGTGGAAGTGTACAATATTATATAACTATTACTTAAAGACAAAGTTTTGGGGTTTACCATAATATCTTCTGAAAAATTATCCTCCTCAAAATTAAAGTATTTTTGCATCTTAAAATTGGTACCTGGTACATATGTATTTAAATGACAACATAAACTTCTGTTTGTCTTCTTTGCAAGGGGATTCTGAGCCGATGATAGATATTAATGATTGACCTTATGGCTAAGATTTTTAAATCTGCCATTTGGATGCCGTGTTCAATCCTTTAAAGAGGATAAAGCAAAAATATTGGATTAAAATAAAGATATGACAGTATAAACTTTAGGGCATCTTCTCTTATCTCCTATAATTTTGATGCTCAATTACAGTATGAAGACCCTGGCAGATTAAGCAGTACTTAATAGCAATCTTCTTTGAAAAATACTCATGTAGCACATATTCAGATGAATGTACTTCAGCATCAGTCACCATTCAATCAATAACCTTTTATTCAGTATAACCTACTCAGAATGCAAAAACTGAAAAAAAAAGTTATGAAATTAGTTACGAAAGAAGGTGTTAGAAGGTGATGCACCGGGGACCTAGTGCAACACATGCTTGTAAGAGCAGAAATAGGAACAGAAAGTCCTGAATTAATTATGTATAGAGGGTATTTATGTGTTGCTACTGACTGTAAAAGATGATCCTCACTCTAAAGAACTTGTCTTCAGAATCTCCAAGAGAGCAAATAAAGAGAGCTAAAAAAGTCAATGCATCAGAATTCAGTATTTTCCATTTTCATTATAGACTTGTATAGCATGCCTCAAGTCTACCTACCATTTGGAAATACGTATGAGAAAATATAAATTATTCTCCTGTAAGAGCAGATTTCTGTGGAGAACAAAAATAAAGATCAATTCAGCAGTAAGGGCTGCTGAGGCATTTTCAGACAGCTAATAACTCCCTCCAGAGCTGCCTAGGTCCAATTTGGAATTTGAGCTGACAATTGTATCTCTCCCTTGATTGGTTGCCAGGAAGAAAACATCTATGCTTCACTGCAAATGTAAGTAATAAAGGACAGTAAGGTCTTCAAGCCTTAAAGGTAATAGAACTTTAGGTTTTGTTTTTTTTTAAATGCCTACCTGCTTTTCTAGGGGGAAAAAACCCAACAAATTAAAATTATTATTTTTAAAAAAGAATCTGTCCTGATGTATGTTAGAAGTTAAAAGTGTACATTCATACATACTGAAAGTATGATGAGCTTACTGCAAGCTAAATGAGACAATTGTCAGTAGTGAGTTTATTTTCTTACGTAAAAGTGAAAATTTCATTTACAGCAGCTATAAAAGTATAGATAAACTCTTTCACGCTTCACCTTCTGACCTGCATTTCTGACTAGCTTACAGAGGCTGCCATTTCTTTGCTCTATTCATGCTTTGAGCCAGCTGGACATAAATAAGATCAGCTTCTTTCCAGAAATCATGTGGCCACATTAGCACAGTTCTGAGCCCAAGCTAATGTATTCTGTTTCACAGCCAGCCTTATTAACTCAGGTTCAGCAGTACACAAATCACAGCTACACAGCTGCTACACTGCCTGGCTCAGGGCACAGGCAGAGTGAACCTGTCACTGTCTGCACCCATCCATGTGGATGTACCCTCAGATGACCCTAGGCTGTAAAAAAAGCTAGTTTTAGGAATTGGTTCTCCAATTAATTACATTTTAATTGCATAATACAATGTATACTGGAAATGGAGTAATGAAATCTTACAGGATATGGTAAAGTGAGTTTTTTCCAACATCACCGCAACAGTGTGCTGCCCAAACTGGTCTATGAACTAACTTGAAAATAGAGGCAAGACATGTAGTCAGTGGGTCAGTGCATTGGATTTGAACACAACTCCTCAAAATTACTTTTCCAGTAGCTTTAAAGTCTTAAAAGTCACTCAAAATACTTTTCAGTCTTCCTGCAGAGAATTCCCAAAGAGCCCAATAACAGCCTTTTCCAAGTACTGATCCCTTCGTGAGTAAAAGTAGTAATTGTGGGCATACCAAATGTCATGATATGTTAAGTGACAATGGGGACTTCACAGGAATTTTCACCTCTTGGATTTTTATCTGCTGTCATTTATCTACTCTGCTATATTCCTGTGCTTCTCTGTACAAGAGACAGTGGAGTTAAATATCTGCAATTAGAAATAAAGCTGCTAAACACAATTTATTGCTCATAAAAAGTTTCACCTTTTGGATCTAGCTCACTCACTGTCTGCAGCAGTGGACACAAAGTGAAGAACACAAATACCTATGGTGTGCTGCCAGCTGTCAGCTCAGTTATGTCCTTGGCCTGATAGGATTTGCCCAGGTTATTATTCCCAGTGGATCACTCCTTCAAGTACTCATCCAATCTCCCATCAAGTTCATATAAATTGTTGCCTTTATAAATTTTGAAAAGAAATGTAACAAGTTTGCCAGCTTTTTGGTATGTCATTCTAAACCAAATCTGAGAGCCTAGAACAGCCATACAGTGAGACAGATCAAAGATCCACCTCACTAGTACCCTTGTCAGCTAAATCAGCCCACAGAGAATGCCTGGAAAAACCAGCAGAACAGACAGGATTAGCATGCAAAGGTATTTCCTCATTCCTCGGCAATCTTTATCTCGGGAGTTCCTGAGACTCCTAATGGTTGCATTTCACCTGCCCTTCTACTATCCAGTCATGTTACATCTCACAACAGGCTTTCTTTTTTCGAAACCCAAAAATACAGTACCATCATCTAACTTCCGTGCCTCACTTTACATCTTTGATTTTAAAGCGTTTTTTTCTCAACAAATAATTTAGAAATATGTTTCATACTTCAAATTTCCATGAAAATGCACTAATAGTCACCCTTCATTTTAGAAACAGACCATTTTCTCCTAACCTGTATCAACAACTTATTCCTTGGCAGTTTAGTTTCTTTTAAGAGCCACAGTCCACTGTAGTCTATTATGCAAACAGATCTTTTTTTAATGCAAGTGCATCAACTGCAAGTACAACGACATCACTATTAAAACATTTTGAAGCAGATTACCATGCACAATGGTGATCAAAAATCAAGTCAAGGCCAAGAAGCCTAAAATTCATGGCACAAAGATTTTAGTCTCATGACTCTGATCAACATGACATTTACCTACAGCACTTAAAAGTACACAGACAATCTTCTCTCTTTTGTTTTCTTTTACAGTGCCTGATTTTCCTTATCAGGAAATGTTTGCCACCATCTAGATACTACAGTCCTAGCAAGATACATTTCTTATTTGGAATTCATTTTAACTCTGATTTTTCTCAACATCCTTTAGTAGTGCAAAGGGCTATTTTCACCTTCTCTAGATAATTTATGTTTATTCTCCTTCCCTCCCCTGTCTCATATGCACAGCATCACACTAGCCCCATTTATACTAGCTTTTCTTAGTCTCTTTTTCTGGGTTTGGGGGTTTTGATGTTTATAGAGCAGTACATTTTTAGTAATTAAGGAGATACAGACAGATAACAGGAGTCAGTGCATTCTTCTGTTGATTGTACAACCAGACTTATTTATGCGGCTATTCCACTCCATCCTGCCTCACTTCTGGCACTACTGTCCTTCTACTCAGAGACACAGAATGCATTTAAGATTTCATTCACACAAGATGAACTAACACTGAAAAAGCAACATTCTTACACCTTGTAGTAATATCACAGTACAAAAAACCAATACATATAATATTGGCCCTCAGGCTTCAGCAATATGATTCTTACTTTTCATACTGTGTCAGAAACATTTTCTGCAGGTCAGTGGGTATAACTACACAAGCACTAAACTACCAGGAATCCCAAACTGCTGCCAAGTTACACTTCAATAAAAGCTTACTGAATCAAGACTCTGATGCTTCTGATGTAGATTGATGAATAACTGATTTTTATTTCCTGCACTGCAAACCACTCTGGCAGTTCCTGAGGTGTGTAAAAATTGCTTTTAACAGCACTTCACTAACAAGCAAAAGGTGTTCATGTAGATGGAAACCAAAACAAAATTCAATAAAAATCTTTCACTTCAATAAAAAGTAAGCCATGGGAACATTGATCATAATCAGTGAATAAATATGAAATAGAAATAACTTTATGGTTTTACATAATTGTATGCAAAAAAAATTCCAAGGGTCATTTATATCAGTTTGTTTAAAATACATTTTAAACAAATACTCTCCTATGAAGAAAAGCTGTTCAGCCTAGAAAAGAGAAAGTTCCAGAGGTACCTTTAAGCAGCATTCCTGTACATAAAGGGGGCTGCAAGAGAGAAGAGGGACTTTTTACAAGAGCATGAAGTGATAAGACAAGGGGGGATGGCTTTAAACTGAAATAGGGAAAGTTTAGATTAGATATTAGGAAGAAACTCTTTATTGTGAGGGTGGTTAGGCACTGGAACAGGTTGCCCAGAGACGTTGTAGGTGCACAGTCCCTGGGAGTATTCAAGGCCAGCCTGGATGGGGCTCTGAGCAAGTCAGTCTAGTGCAATGTGTCCCTGCCCATGGCAAGGGGACTGGAACCAGGTGATCTTTAAGGTCCCTTCCAACCCAAGCCATTCTCTGATTCTATGAAATACAGACAGGTCAGCTGGGATTATATAAGAGTTTGGCCCCAAATAATAATTATTCCTGGTGAATTTTGAAGTCAAGGTCTTTTAGCTGCTTTCAACCCAACAGGAGTAATTTTCATCATGTTATCTCAAATAACTGATGTCAGATTATCTGAGGTCCTGTAAAAGATCCCAAACTTTGACATTTCACAAATTAGCAAGTCAGCTCTATAAACAGACATCCCATCCTGATCCAGCTGGATAACAAGTAATTTAATTTACTCCCTATCTGTTACCACCTGCTTCAGGAGATTGTCACCTGCCAAGTTTTACTGAAAGGGATCCCTGTTTCAGAACTCTGTGAAGGACACTGCAGCAGTTCTCAGCTTTGCCACGCCACTCTCCTCCTGACCTGTCACCAATAGACATGAAGATGCATCCCTTTCACATGTGGATACAGCACCAAGTTTCTTCAGGGCGTTCCCAAGGTAAGGAGCATTTGAAGCTCTGAGCTGGCTGCGTGCAGGAGGCAGCATTCATTACTTTTAACAGCCAAGCTCTTTTTCCCTAAGGAAGACAAGATAAAATGTGTCTCCTCAAGGGCTTCTGCCAGAGCACCATAGAATTAGGCCCTGGAGGGAAGAGGGAGCCCAGGAAACATGTGTTGGATGTCAGGCAAAAATGCCAGGAGACCTCTGTGGGTGAAGAAGGAGCACCTCCAAACTCAAACACAAAAAGGAAGCACGGAGAAGGTGGCATCAAGGACAGGTAACCTGTGAGGAAAACAGACACATTGTTCATATATGCAGGGATGAGGTCCTGAAAGTTAAAGCCCAGTTGGAACTGAAGCTGGTGATGGATGTCAAAGACAACAAGAAATGCTTCTGTAGGGGACAAACAAAAGACTGGGAAAAATGTGAGCCCACTGCTCCCCCCCTCCACTTCCTACTATAAAATCTCACTCCATTGTTTTAGACAAGACCCAGTAAATAGAAGCAGTTCTGTACCTCTTACTGTACCTACCCTTCTTTTCTTTGTGTAATATAATTCCTTACATAATGTTTAAGGAGTTCTAGAAAAGACAAAAGCACATGTGCTAAGGAAAAAAACAGGTGGGGGTTTTGTGGGGAGTTTTTTTTGGGGTTTTTTTTTTTATTTGGTTTTTTTTTTGTTTTGGTTTGGGTTTTTTTGGGTTTTTTGTTTTTTGTTTTGATTTTGTTTTTGTCAAAACCTGTGAGCTGGTTTGGCTTGCAAATTCCTAACTGAAGAGGCTCAGCAAGGGAGCTGCAGAGAAATGGAAATCATCTTCTGTAAAATACTATCAGCAAATTACCTTTGTCCTGGGGCTGATTTACCTTTTGCAACCCCAGCTACAGCCAGAAACACACACTAGTCTCTTACAAGCTTTCTCCTGCATCTCTCTACACCTTACCATGCTGTATTATGGCATTTAGATGTTTCACATGGTAGAATTTTACTGAGAGTGTCTTCTGACATCCACAGGCTATCACCTTTTGTCACATCATTGCTTTTAGCTACATTTCCAACTGAAAATAAGCCTAGGAACTACAACGCCCTTCTCCCAAGGCTGTCAATTCAGCAAATATCACAGATAAAAAGATTAAATGTAAGTTGTGTGTGTATATTTGCACACATATGATCTATTATAATTTTTGAATGCTAAATCCTGTTTTTTCACCACATAATACAAAAGGCTTTCAACCAGAGACACTCACAATCTAAACAGACAGAAAAGAACACAAGAGCTTAAACAAAGACTCTTATCTTACTCTCTGCTTTTACAAAACATTTAACCTTTTACTTAGATATACTAGTGCCAGGACCTCACAAAGAAAGTAATGTGTTCAGGAGGGAATGGAGAAAGGGCACCTCCCTTCTGCAAAAGGATTGAGAAGGAATTCCAAACATTAAGATAAAAATCAAAATAAAATGGAAAAATGAGACAAAGTTGTAAGCCAGAATTCTTTCATTATGTATTTCAGTGAACTTTTGCTGATTTCCTGTAATATACCTTAACTGCAACAATGTTTATTTGCTAAATAGATAGTCCCAGCCTTTAATCTATGAACTTCAACAGTGAAATTTGCAAACTATGTGGCCCAAAATAAAATACACATTAACGTGCTTAAATTGGAGGTGAGCCCACAGAAACCAGTGCATCCATATTACGTACATAGATCTCAAACACAAGCATTTATTTTAAATTGACTATTTAGTTCTCACTGACTCAGAATTACATAAGAGCCACCAAGGAACGGGCCTCTGGCAGCATGGACACAGAAATCTGTTCAAGCACTGACAGGACTGTTAGCTGAGGCCTCAGAAACCCAAAATCTGGGTCCTCAAGATGTGTATTTCCATATTTATCTCATCAAGCAGTTCAATCTCACTGGCAGGCTCCAAGGACAGTCTCTTTTAAGAGATAAGTTGACAAACTACTCCTGCCAGGATAGGAAAGACCAAGGTAAATCACTAATGCCCACGGCAAATTTAGCCTGACAGGGCGGTAATCTCTTCTAAAATACCTTTGGCACTAATGCACCAAAAATTTCCCATCATCCAACTGCGTGCCCTGAATCACCATAACTGGGAGCCTGAGATGATCCCAGATTCTACGGGACACTTAGGCTGATTTAAAGGCAAATAAATGTACTTGCTCCTTCACAGCAGTTCAGCCATGATTTACACAGGCTGATCTGGCACACATTTAAATTCCTGCTAGGGCTTTCTGTAGTTTTTAACCATATCACTTCACCTCCCCCCAGTTATAAAAAGAGAATTATGGTATTTGTGTAACATTACAGAGGCACTGTCAGTTATGACAATTAATTAAATAAAATAAATATTCACAATAAAGAGTTGATTCTGCTTTATTAAGGTAGAGCTTTTTTTTTTAAACAACAAAAATTTTATTTAAAGCAAGGAAGACCTGGTGCAAAAACTAAAGCTAAATACAGACAATGATATGAAAAGTTATTTTAAAATATCTGATAATTAACACTTGTATAAAACCAAGCATGTGTTCCACAGCTTTTATTCCCTGCAGTCAAAATTCAAGCCTTTACAATTTGCCTGCTGAAAAGGTAACACGACCCAGCATATTTTTCTGTATTTAGAAGAAATACAAATTTATGGGCTGTTTTTACCACAGCAGCATGCAACATTCCAAAAGAAGCTCTAAGAAAAAGTAATTAAAAATGTGAAGTTTAACAGAAAATGAGACAAAGCCTAAAGCCAAAGAAAAATCCTGCTAAACTTATTCAATATTATTGAGATCTGTAGTTTTTCTATGAAAAGGAAAAATGTATTAGATCACACCTATCTGGACAAGTGAAACACTTGATATGGTGCAATACTGACATTTATGTCTATCTTATGGAAGTTAAGGAGAGGCTGGAAGAAAATTTCAGCAATTTCCCTTGCAAGCAGTTTTAAATTAACCTTTTAATTGGTGACTTCAACATAATGAGTAGATAGACACTTTTGATACAAAATAAGAAATATAGCATATGGAAAGAAAATGCAAAAATTACAAAAATGGTGTCAAACTTATAATTATAGAGTGCAACATTGTACCAAAATGTGGAATATGCAACATTTTCTCAAGAAAGGATGTTCTTTAATGTTTGATTTTTGTATACTTTCAAGCTTTACCAACAAGATGGGAGATTTAATCTGTGAAACAGACAGCAGCCCACAAGCTCTAAGTGATGTGCAGGTGCTAGAAAGACAAATTACTGGTTGGTAGAATTGTCTAGCTAAGCTTTAGGGCCTGGCAGGTTTCAGTGATCTCACACCCAGAGGGAAGTTAATAAAGCTGGGGAGAAGGATGTACCACTGACAGCAGACACAAGGAATGCAGAATTCATGGGCCACAAGGACATTGGGCAGAATCCCCGAGATAAGGAAGAAACTAATAAACCTTACCCCAGCAACTGTGCTGAACCAGCTCTGAGTGGGTAAAAGGTAATTCTGCAGAGGGAGATTCCAACCACCCACTCGCAGATCATTGACCCAAAAACCCATCGGCCCAAAGGAAGAGAAACACCACGGGACTGACTAGCATGAGATGAGAGAATCATTACCTAATAGAAGATTGAAAACTAATTAATACAAGGATTATGTAACATGTAGTTAATGAACACTAATTCCTTTGTTTGCTGACATGTATAAATAGCAAAAGGTTTTGATAGTTGTTGTGCTTGGTTTGTGGAATTCCACTGGGCACCCAGGCTTGCAGAACTCTGAAATAAAATCATCAATGTCTCTCTCACATGTGATGTAATTAGTGATGCACACTGGGAAACAAATCCGATTTTTGTGGACAACATCCTGCACTTACAAACTAAGATACCTCAGAAATTCTGGTCAGATAGATGTATTTGATGGGGTATATTTGAACCTGCCAAGATAACCAGAAAGCATCATGCAAAGGACACGAATGGTAGAAACTAACTGCATATTTTATTATTTAATAAAAGCTTTCTAAACCAATGGTCTGTACCAGAAGCAGGACATTATTTGTGCTAATAAGAAGACGTGTCTGGTAGCCCTTTTTTTTTTTGTTAATAAAAGGGTGAGGGAAGGATGACACTTCAGGGACTCCCATTTTCCAGTAGTACATCTGATCCTCAAGAAAAACTCGCAGAGCGCACGGGAGTGCCACAAAGCCGCTCATGCTTTCGCTTTTCAGCGCTGAGCGGAGGCCGGGCCCGCTCGGCCCCGCGGCGGGAGCGGCCCCGAGGCGGGAGCGGCGCTGAGGGCGGGGCGGGGCCGGGGGCGGGAGCGGCGCTGAGGACGGGGCGGGCCCACGGCGGGAGCGGCGCTGAGGGCGGGGCGGGCCCACGGCGGGAGCGGCCCCGAGGCGGGAGCGGCGCTGAGGGCGGGGCGGGCCCGCGGCGGCGGGAGCGGCGCTGAGGGCGGGAGCGGCGCTGAGGGCGGGGCGGGGCCGGGGCCGGGGGCGGAAGAGGCCCCGAGGGCGGGGCGGGCCCACGGCGGGAGCGGCCCCAAGGCGGGAGCGGCGCTGAGGGCGGGGCGGGCCCGCGGCGGCGGGGCGGGGCCGCTCCGCGCTAAGATGGCGGCGCGGCCCCACGTGGTGCGCGCTGAGGCGGGCGCGGGGCGGGCACTGGTGACATGGCGGCGGCAGCAGCGGCAGCGGGCAGCGAGGGCGGGAGGAGCGACGGAGCGGAGGAAGACGAGGTGGAGGTTGGTGGATGCCGATACCGAGGCGCTCCCCAGCCCTGGGGGAAGGGTCCGGCCCCCCGCGGGGCGTGGCCCGGCCCCGCTCCGCCCGGCCGGAGGGGCAGGCGGGGAGAGGGGCCGGTGACGGACCGAGCGCGTTTCCCTGGGGCCGGCGCGTTCTCAGCCACAGCGGTGCCGTCCCCACAGCTGTGTGGTTCTGGCTGTTCTTCCTCGGGCTTCCCGGAGAACGGCGTGGTCAGAGAGCGAGTTTCCAGTTTCTATTGCTTCCTACCGCCATAAAATCACAGAATCACAGAAGAGTTTGGGTTGCAAGGGCCTTTAAAATTCGTCTGGTTCCAAACCCCTGCCGTGGGTAGGAACACCTTCCACTAGACCAGGTTGCTTAAAGCCTCATCAAGCCTAGTCTTAAACACTTCCAGGGATGGGACAGCCACAGGTTCTCTGGGCAATCTTTTTTAGTACCGCACCCCTCCCTTCAGTAAAAAAAATATTTTCATTAATGAAAATTTCAGTGTCTAATCTATGCCCACTCTCGGTTTAAATCTGTTACCCCTTGTTCTGCCACTACAGGCCCTTGTAAAAAGTCCCTCTCTAACTCTCTTGTAGGCCCGCTTTGGGTACTGGAAGGTGCTGTAGGATCTCCCCAGAGTCGTACTGATGCTCACTTTTCAAGGGTGAAAAATGTGCTCCCCCATTGCTCGGTAGGAAGAAGAGGCCAGGAAATTCGGGTGTCCATTATTCTTATGGAATAGTGGGTCACTAAACTTTCCTGGGTATTACAAGAGTTCTGTCCCTTGATAAAATGCAGCATAAACTCCACTTTGGGGTCTGTTTATCCTGAAAGGCTGTGTCTTTGTCTGCTGTTCTTATTGGTAAAGATTGATTTTGAGGAGGCCTTTTCCCCCTTCCCCCCCAAGTTCTGTAGTATCTGTACATGTTCTATTATAGCTGTACATGATCAACTTTTCTTGTAGGAGCAACTGGTCATGGTTGAGCTATCAGGAATTATTGATTCAGACTTCTTAGAAAAATGTGAAAACAAGTGCAAGATTTTGGTGAGTGATTACAGCAGAATAGGAAAGGGGTAAGTTATTACGGATGTGAACAAGGGAGTGAGGCTGCTTGTAAATTTCTTGACGTTGGTAACATTAGATCCAATCTTTTATAGAGAATTATGTATGTGTCCTGTGCTTGGCTGCATGTTGTGGGCTTTCTTTCAGAAACAGCATAAAGTCTTTGAATATATTATTGCATAAATATAAGGTAACTTTTTCAGAAGTATATAAAAGCTTGGACCAGTATCTTCTCTGATTTCACGTTCTAAGGTAATTTTTATTTAAATTATGTATTGCACATGTTAAAAAACCCAAAATTGTTAATCACACTTCTTCGAACAACTGGAATACAGCAGACAGGTAAAGCAAAATATTTAAGATTTGTACTGTATTTGCAATGGGATTTTTTGCAGATATGTCCCGGCAAGTTCAAGTCTTCTAAATTATAACTGGGTATTAAGCATATTGTAAACAGTTTTGGATGTAGTTTGCTTTACTGTAAGGTTATTGTAGGAATCTGGTTTCCCTGTCCTGTTCCTTTTGAGTTTTTTTAATCACTTTATCTGTATAGGACGGATTTCATTTGCCCTTCAAAACTTACGTAGACTCCGAGAGATGTATAGATAGTACAAGTACTTCTGATTTGCAAATACTTTCTCTAAGTAGCCTTTTATTATAGGCTGAAAAGATGGAAGAGAACATCTGAGTGTGCCACTGATCACAGTATATCTGAGTGGTAAAGTCAATTCTGAATGTCTCAGTAGTAGAAATACAATCAAAATTCATAAAGTATTCATCTTTGGATGGATATGCAGGTTTCCTTCCTTGATCTCATCTAATTCTCTTGAAATTTGTTACATGTATCATTCATACTGATGACTGAATGGCCACCAATGCTTTGGTTCTGCTGGAGGGATTCATTTAAATGATGCACTTTGAGAGCCCCTTGTAATGTTACTAGTAGAAGGTTATAGTGTCCATACTGTGTCCTACTTGTATCCACATTTACTTGGGTTCACTCCACAGAGTAAGCATTCCTTGAGGCTTTTCCTAAGGCAAAACTGTTGTTAAACCCTTAATTAAAGGGTCTGCTCTATATTACTCTGTTTAGCAAGTTTCCTGTGATGCTGGTGGCATCAGGGGAAGATGGTCTCCAAGTCTGCATAGTCCACAAAGGAATGCAAATCAGCCAAAGAAATAAAATTTTGAATGCAACCCCCCCCCATAATGCTATTGTTTAGTACTGATGTGTTATTAATTGTATTTATTTCTTGTAGAAGGAAAAAAAAAACTCACAAAAATATGTTCTATGTGTTAGCTTAGTGTTATGAGTGTTCTCAATTTATGCAGAAGAAAGTGAATCCTAGAGCTTAAATCTTGTTGATCTTGCGCTTTTGAAACACAAAAATGTATAAGAGGAAAATTGCACAATTTCTATTAACCTGTGTGATATTTTGTATTTTATGCAATTTACCACATAATGCCTTATCTTCAAAACTTTTAGTGTGTGCTTGTCTTCATGTCCTGAATAATTCTGATGCTCACAAGGTACTATTCAAAGACCTTTTGCCTTAATTAGTGTGTTTTGTTCAGACATTGATTTTTATCAAAATACAGTATATAGATATATCTTACATAAGAAAAATAGGATGCTGGCTTGTGTATTTGGAAAACCTGCAATCTAGAGGAAGGGAATGAGCTGTTGGAAGTGCTTCCTTACTCTTTCACTACTTTTTTTAAAAAAACAAAATAGCAACAATTTCCAACTCCATTGCAATGGAGACACACAGTAATCACAGAAGCTTCTGTAACCCTGCAGTGGCCCTTCCGGTACTGATGGGCTGCCTTATGCTGGACTTCTTCACCCTGTGTATTTTCCAATTTTAAAGTTATTCCACTTTCGAGAACTTGTATTAATTGAAGCTTAGAAAATAACATCATCTGCATGCAAACACCTACATTTTTGTTAATTTGAAATGGAGGTTACATTATTTTCGTAGGGGAAATAACAGCACTAACTTATATAGACTGTTGGCTGCAGCTTGGTCTGAATTTATTGTAATATACTAGAGCATTTTCTATACAGTTTTATACCATAGGTTTTATTATGATTACTAAAAGAGTATTTTCTGGTATTTTTTTTTGTATTTAATATACTTAAAGGAACATGTATGATGAGGAATTGATATTATCTGGATTCTACTATGTCTGTCTTTGCTGGTTTTACAGTGAGAAATGCACCTGGGCTAATACAGACCTGACATTATGCAATTTTATCCTTCTTTACATAGGGAATAGAGACAGAGAGGCCCATTTTACAAGTGGACAGATATGTATTTGCAGGAGAATATGAAGGTAGGAAAACAATCTCTCCCTTTTCACGTGACCCAAGGAACTTTCTTAACATCAGGTGGTTTTACTGCAATTGGTCCTGTGAGATGCTGTAGTTTTGGGTAGTTGTGTAACACCATGTAGAGCAGCAGCAGGCTGAGTTCACTGCTAAATTAATCATGCATCCATGGTACTTCCAAGGAAAGTATGTCTGGAAGCTGACTCTGGGGTGTACCAGCTCGTATTACTGCAGACAAAAATGTGGGATATAAAATGCTTTAAAGTACTGTTGTCTCCTGTGTAAGCAGGACTTACATGTTGTGCAATCTGTAGTTCTCTCATTTGCCCTATGGTGACAACACTGGTCTGGAAGAAAATGGTCTGGGATCCTCCCTTGTAGTGACTCCAGTGACTGTGATACTCCTGCCTGCTCCAAGTTCCTTACCAGTGCTACACCTATGGAGTGTGGGGGCTGGAAACATTCCCACAGCTGGGCCAGTGGGCACATTTTCTGCAGCTGATGCAAATTAGTCTCTAAAAGTTTTTCACTTTGTTTTTCATAGATGCCTTGGGAACCTGTGTGGTTTTTGAAGAAAACACAGAGCAAGGTAATTGTTGTGATTTGATGTTCTGTTTGTTTCAGTAGCTGGGGAGATTAAACATATTTATCTTGTTTCAGTTGCTAGTGGAATTAACTATAACGATTGGGGTCTGGGTATTGTTTTTTCTCCTCTCTTCTTAGTAGATGCAGAAGGCAACCAAAAAGTACAGCTGAAATACAAGTGCCACACAGTGAAGAAGTTGAACATGACGCGGACCCTTCTGACAGAAAAGAAGGAAGGAGAAGAGAATGTCGGTGAGTGATTCTGCTCTTATGTATGTGGACATGAGTGGATTATGCTTAATCCACAGGGAGAGTCAGCCTTTATTAAGTGTTTGATCCAAGAGCATGCAGGAAGTTAAAGGAACTTTCTTCTTTAAGCGCCATATGTGTATATTTAAATTAAAAAATTAAATACATTTCTGACCAGTGCTGCCTCCATAAATGGCTAGTAGGAGATTACTACAAAGAAGTGTAATAGCAGGGCAAACATATGCTGATGCTTCCTGCTATGTTCTTCTGTTATCTTTAGGTTTTAAAAACAGAGGTGCTGTTTAGTAGTTCTTTCTTGATTTTTTTTTTCCCCTACTTCCATAATTTTTTTCTAATGACTTTTTGAGTCTCTGTAATTGTTAAAAAGAACTGAATTGTACTTACTGAATTTACAGTTGAATGGAAATGAATTTAAAAAATAAATTTAAAAATTTAAAATTACTTGCAAAGACATACCTAGAAGACCATTTATATTGATTTTCACTCTGTAGGCAGAACTTGGGGTTCATACGTTTTCTTTAGTTATTTTTTTGTACAGAGGTCAGTGCTTTTACATAGTCAAATACTAAGTATCCTACCATATATAGCAGTATTCATTAAAACTGTCCTACTGCTTTTAGCTGCTTTTTTCACTCAAGTCAGTGTTGCTGCTTCATATTTTAAGAATATATAGCCATTTTGTCTTAAATATGAGCAGTCAGCTAGACACTGGCCATAGGAGGTATAAAATGAAATGTCATCTAGAATCTAACCAAACATCAGCATTCTTATCAACACCACATACCACTTCTCTCTGGAGAATTAATTATGTAATATTAAACTGAAACGATTATTGTGATAGTATATGTAATATTAAATTGAGACTAGAGAGGATTTTGCTTAATACAAAGTCCTTTTTTATTGCGGAGCAGCAGTACTGATGATAAGTACTGAAAACCACTTTGTTTCTGTACCATGACAGGAATTTAACTTGTGCATACAAAGTAACTAAAACATCTTGTGACTTTACAACATGTACTGAGTAAAAATCAAAATGGGAGTGGAATCCCATTTCTATTTGGTGTTGGTTTCAACCTGTTGTTCCAACTTATTGTTACACTTGAATTAAAGAGAATGTAAGAACTTGTGTCCTATCTCTCTTGTTGTCATTACCTATTGCCAGAAGATCTAATATTTAAGTGAACAAATATTCTATTCTCTTCATTACATTTGTGAAATATTTTCTCTGCATTTTGATTTATGTTTAAGTTTTTTTAAGAGCCTAAGGGTGGCATTAGACACCTAAATACAATGAACTGCCACACTGGATCAGAGGAAAGATCTTTTTAGTCCTGCATTGTATTTTCTGGTAGTAAATGGGTATGTGAAAAGTAATAGGAGATGCATGTACATATCTTTCTATTCTAAGTGGTTCTTTTACTTAGACGTTGGTCTGGCTCAGCCTTAATAACAGTGAACTTAAACAAATTAAAAACTGCTGTTAACTTCTTTTGTCACTAATAGAATTTTCTTTCTTCACATCAGGTGGAGTAGAGTGGTTGCAGATCAAGGACAGAGATTTTTCCTACAGCAGGCTTAATATGATTTGCAGTTTTCTGCCTGAAAAGGATGATTCTGAGGAGTCAGCTCAGGCCCAAGATAAACTGACCGAAGAGTCCGAGGGAGAGGTGAGTGGCAAAGGCAATTCTAACATGAACTGTGACCTGGAAAAGCAGCACACCTTGGAAATAGATGCCTCTATTCCTCTGCCTGACAGCTCTGCTTCTGGGGCAGAGGAATTTCCTTCTGGAAATGCTGCCTTAGAGGATGCACCTCCATGATATTAACTGTGATCTTTTGAGGATTTCTTCGTGGAATTAATGGGCCAACTTTTATAGGCCATGACATGATTCCCACCTTCTCTGAAAAATGAACAGTGGAAAGACAGACATTATGTTTTTGTGCATTGCTTTTGTGCTTGAATTATAGTGGGAAGGGCTTAAGTGTTTTTTAAAATTACAGACTGGAAATGTATGTATCCCTACCTCAAAACTGAACAAGTGGAAATGGTTACATAATTAAAAGAAACTCCTAGCTTAGAAAAATGTTGATGTATTGCACAGTCTGAAACATTTTGTAAAAAGAAAGAAACACCATTGTTTAAAATAAAGACCTGAATTTTTCAACTTTACCTTGTGTGTTGTATTCAGCTACATACTCTATCTGCTTTTGTACTGCAGTTATTGAAAGAAAACAAATAAGTGTGGCTTTTATTGACTGAATACTCATCAAATTGCATAGTTTAGATTCTCTCTAGTCTCCTTTGTCTCCTTGATGGAGTTTAGAAATCATTCATATGGGAAGGGACTTTAGGGCGTCTCTCATCTAGCTTCCTATGTAAACAGGGTCAACTATTCAAAATTCAGAGCAAGTTGGTCAGGCTTTGTCCATTCAAGTCTTGAAAACCCCTGCAAATGTCAGCAAATGAAATCCAGGTCTTAAAGAGGCATCTGTCATGCCGCTTCTCCCATTTTGTGTACAATATAATGCGTGTTATACAAAAGGAAGTGTGGTCATCCCGTTTTTCTTCACGGTAACTTCTTGTCTCTAATATTCCTGTCATTTTTCTGAAGGGTTTTATGCTTATGATCCTGTACCCACGCATCGGTGGTTCCCAGACTAGTCCATGTGACTATGCTGTGCCACCTAGATAGTCTGTGGGTTGATACTGCTACATCATTTATACTGCCACACACTGTTCTGTGTCACAGTTGAGTGTGTGGTGCACTCAGGATAATGTTTTCAAAAACGCAACAATTTTAAAACAGAAAACATTTTCTCCCTGACCCTTCTTCTTTCCTACTTTTCTCTGCCTCTCTTGACCCTTCTTCTTTCCTACTTTTCTCTGCCTCCCTCAAAACAGTGTAACTGCAACAGTGCTGTGAGGATGAGAGCACCTAATTAATTCCAGCATAATTATGTAATACTTTAATTAGTAATGATCAGAGGAGAAGCTCACCCACAACGTTGTTCACAGCACAGCATCAGTAAAGAGAAGCCATTAAAACAGCAACAGTTTCAAACCATCAATCCCATTATTCTTTTTTTTTTTTTTTTTTTTTTTTTTTTTTTTTTTCCTGTGTAGAAGCAACTTGAATTCTTGGGGAAAGGGAGGCAGGGAGAGGAAGAAAAGGGAACATGCTCTTGTGTGCCTCCAGCCTGGGTGTGGATCTTTCACATGGTAGTGTTGCATTTGAGGTTTCATGGAGACCGCACAGCCATCCCTCTGGGTTTAACTGCAACCAAGGAAGTTTAAAAACATCATAATTCACACTTGATTTGTGTGGTGGTGATAGATAGAGGACAGTTATAACTGGAACGATGATCCTGGGAATATGCAGGCTCTGGAGTGCTGGAGGGAGGGTTTGCGGTGCACATGGGGGCAGCTGAGCCTCCTGCAGAGAGGGCTTTTGCTATGGCTGCTTCAGCCACTGAGAACAGAGAGGTGCTTCAAGAGTTTGTCCTCTGACAGAAGGCAAACACAGCAAATCTCCCATGTTTTTGTTAACTGGCTGCTTAGTCTGGCACTATGTATGTGAGGTTTTTTTCTCCTATGTACAAGGAGTATTCCAGCAGCATTGGTTTCTCAGCCTTTTCTTTCAGTGCTACACTGAAGCTGTTTCTTTGTTGTAGTTCATCTGGTAATCAGTATTATTTTTCGAAAATATTTTATGTATATCACACACAATGAGTACATTCATAATAATGTAGGAGTTTATTAATATTTTAAGTGTTATTTCTAATGGTCGAGCTTTTGCTTCTATTATTAACCCTATTTTTTGCAACCATACAACCTGTGGGTGAAGAACCTTTTCCTGATATCCATCCTAGCCCTCCCGACACAACTTCAGGCCATTCCCTCGGGTCCTGGCACAGGTCACCGAAGAGCTCAGTGTCCGTCCCCGCTCTTGCCCTCAGGAGGAAGCAGCAGACAGCAGTGAGGTCTCCGCTCCGGGCAGAGCAGCCCCAGCGCTCCCAGCCGCTCCCGGCACGGTTCCGCCCCGGGACGGCGGAGCGGAGCCGCGCCCCGCGCATGCGCCGTGCCCCGCCCTCTCCCGGCGGACGTGACGCGCGCGGCGGCTCCCGCAGGTCCTGCCGCACGTGAGGGCAGCGATGGATGCGCTGGATCGGGTGGTGTGAGTGTGCCGAGGGACCCCCTCTGGGAAACGTGAGCGGGCGGCGGCCCGGGCCGGGCTGCACTGGGGGAGCCAGCAGAGGGAAAAGCCTTATGGAAAACGTGCGGGAATGAGGAAGCCGAGCGCTGCCGTCTTTTTGGTGGTGGCCAAACAGCCCTTGCTCAGTTGGTGGCTTAAAATAACCGCGGTGACCCTCTGGTGTTGAATCTGTGTGTTCCCGTACACCTGAGGAAATTGATTTCTGAAGTTTCAGTAATGCCCAGCGGCAGCATGGGGAGCGATTGCCATAAACTAAAACACAAGAAGTCCCACCTGAACGTGGGGAGGAACTTCTTCACGCGAAGGGTGACAGGGCGCTGGAACGGGCTGCCCAGGGAGATCCAGGAGTGTCCCTGTCTGGAGACAGTCCAAACCCACCTGGACACATTCCTGTGCCAGCTGCTCCAGGTTACCCTGCCTCGGCGGGGGCTTGGACTCAATGATCTCCAGAGTCCGTTCCACCCCGGCGATGCTGGGATACCTCGGCGTGGGGGCATTATTTGTTTTAAATAAGAAAATAAAATTAATGCTTTACTGAGAAGATAATCTAGTGGAGAACTGTAATTCTTAAGCCACGCAGCCACAGATACGTATGAGGTCTGTGCCCCTGCGAAGGCTGCGGTATTTCACCTGGATAGTGCCCAGCGTTCCTCGCTGGTTCCTGACAGCAGCTTTTACTTTGGGGGCCGTTGGTGGTCTTTGAGGAACTTTTTTTTTCTCATAAGCAAGTTTCTGGCTTGTTGAGGGAGCTGGTGTGAGGGGAATCCTTCAGCCTTGCAGTAGGCTGGGAATTCTAGTACAGCTTGAGCTCTAAATTAAAAGAAACTAAAAAGCACAAGATGGTAAAATCACCTTTGCTAATTTGAGATGACAGAGAGGAAGAGGAGTGGCAGGAAAAACACATTCACCTGAGACAGGGCTTTTGGCATTGATTGTAATTCTGCAGGTTGGGATTAGTTTGAGTCATTGAAACAAGTTACTTGAATAGTTTGTTCCAATTATTGTTTGGCTTCACTGTTTTCTGTAGTGTCTTGTTACATATATTAAGCTTTTAACTTTTAATTTATTGTTACAGAAAGCCTAAAACTAAGAGAGCAAAAAGATTTCTTGAGAAGAGAGAACCCAAGCTAAATGAAAATACAAAAAATGCTATGCTCATAAAAGGAGGAAATGCAAATTTAACAGTGACTGAAGTGCTTAAAGACATTGTAAGTTTTTGGACGTAGCATGCAATCTTCCTCTCTCTTTTTTACAATTTTCTGTCTCTGCTGCACAATCAGTATTTTCATACTCTCCCTGTACCCCGAATCTCAGAATGACGAGTACTCCAAAGGTGTCATTAACTGCTTCTAAATGGCAATTGTTTTCTTCCAGTTTCTGCTTTGCCAGAAGTTTTGAGCTTGCTCTCTTATTTTTTCACAATTGTCTAGTATATGAGGTGAAGTGTTGCCAAGTCTGTTTGAAAGCAAGAGGATGAAGAGGATTAGGTACACAACTGGGACTGTGTCACACAGCTAAGTCATATCCCAGAATCCTGCAACCTGACTTTGTGTATTGATAGGGAGCTTTCAGCCCCTCCTGAGACTAAGTTACCAATCTTGTCTCATAACTCCATAGCTCAGATTATTATAGTTGTTCCTACACTTGTTTTTCTCTTTGCTTTATTGTTTTCCTATTCTTTTATGCTTCTATAATCAAGTTGTTGTTCTCTCCCTGTTTTTTCTTATGCCACTTAGAAGCAGAGGGATTGCTTTGATTCCAGCTGTTTCTCAGTTAATTTTTTATTTCTAAATTTCTACAAATAATTTATTGTGCAATTAATTTGGAAACAAGATTGTCACCATCTTGAAGGGTTTTACTGTGAGCAGGCCTTTTGAGGTACCTTCTAGTCTGCTCTGCATGGTTACTGTTTCACGTGATCCTGTAAACTGTTGGGTTGTCAAAACAACAGTGCTGTGCATGTTAGAGATGACTTGTAGTGACTTTGTGTTTTGCAGTATGCTGTGAAGAAGCCTTTTGCTGTACTGTATAAAAGGTAAGTGATCTGACTTTGACATCTTTGAGTCTTCTGACTGACAGACATAGTTTCAGGGCATAAATAGAGATGCAGGCTAGCCTTGGGGCTTGAGCAGGGTACAGAAGATGAGTGATCATAATTTTCAACAGACTGGAAACAAGCTATGTGTGATCAGTGTTGGTGCTGAGCCCTGTTCTGTGGCAGCTGCCTTGAACAGGATTTGGCTCTAAGTCTTGTTTGAATTGGGAGCCCAGTGTCTGTGTGAATGTAGTGCAGAAACAACTGTAAATTGTTGTCTAAATTTAATGAATGAACAGACAAAGGTAGGTACTCATAGTGCCACTGGTGGTAGTGGTAGTGGTGTTCTGCAGGTCAGGCCCCAGGAGACAGGAAATGTGGAGGAAAGTACTTAGAATGGCAGTGATGGCACTAAAGTGTTCCTGGCAGTAGTAATCTGACTTGTGATTTGAACTCAAACTGAGTCTTTACTGCTGGAGTTCCTGGTAGAATGCAAGACTTTGTATTATCAGAGAATTAATAAGAAGTGCCTATCTGGGCCTGTTTTTTGGAGTGTTTTTGGGGTTTTTTTGACTTTTTTTTTTTTTCTCCTCCTCTCAGGAAGAATATTACCAGGCCTTTTGAGGACCAAACAACATTGGTAAGTATAAACAATGCTTTCTCTTACAACAGTTTTAAGCAGGTTATCCTTGTGTGCCAAAAGATGAACCATCAGGAAAGAAGAACAGCCTGTCTGAATAGAGCTTTGCCTGGAACTAAGGGGTAAAAAGAGTATATTGCTTTTGGAAGAGGCAGACTATTCAGGAGGACCACAAAGATGTTGTGAGGGTATGCAGGGAGAAAATTAGAAGGGTCCAAGCCCAACTAGAACTTAATCTGGTTATTGCCACGAAAGATAATAAAAATATTTTTGCAATTAGATCACCAACAAAGTGAGGGCTAAAGAGAATCTCCATCCTTTACTGGATGCAGAGGGAAACACAGGGACAAAGGATGAGGAAAATGCTGAGATACTTAATGCCTTCTTTGCCTCACTCTGTAATAACAGCACCAGTTGCTGTCTGAGTACCCTGTGCTGGAAGACAGGGACAGGAAGCAGAGTGAAGTCCCAATAATGCAGGAAGAAATGGTTGGTGATCTGCTACACCACTCAGACAAACACGTCTATGGGGCCACGTGGGATCCATCAAGGGTGCTTAGGGAGCTGGTGGAAAGGCTCACCAAGTCCATTTCAATCCTTTAGCAGCAATCCTGGCTGACTGGCTAGAGGCATTTTTTTAAAAGGGCAGTTTTGCAATGTGTGTGCTGTTGCAGTATATGCAGAGCACATTTGAAGCATTTGAGTTTTTTACATCTCTTTAATAAAATTTACAACTATTAGGGGGTGCACAGATATCAACACAGTGATTAACAGAGCTGTATAAGCACATGTTTCAAGGGGAGTCTCCTCTGCTCTGTTCTTGGCCTGTCTAGAATCAGCATTTCTCAGGGATCTGGTGGCAAAACTCGATGCTGAGGTGTGTGATTTGTACATGCAATTAATCCAGCCTCCCCAAGTATCCCTCTGACCTCCCAGAGGGGCAGAGCTGCAATGTCGTCTCTGAGCTGCTGCTGTTGCAGGGTGGGAGATGAAGTGTCCTTCTGTGCTTCAAAGTGCCAAGTGCAGGTGTATACTTGTGGGAAGCACTGCATAAGTTGTATGTGTGTGTATGTCACCCTTGATACACAAGATAGCTGCTGCCTTGGGAGGCAGAAGTGCATAAAAAGACTTTGGAGCTGGACATCTTTAGAAAGAACTTCTCTAATGAAATTGACATGAAGTTGCTCTGTAGTAGGACTCTTGTGCCAAGTGCAGATGTTTTTAGCTTGCTGTTGAGGGAATTAACTGGTTGTTCAGAAGCTGTTAGGCAAAGCCAATATGCTGTATAAAGCTTAGTTGGGAAAGTACAATGAGACAGTCAAATGGTAGCTAGCTTGACAATACTTGTCAGTCAAGGAGAAGTGGTTGAAAGTATCTTGTGTAAAACCAAATAACCAAGAATTACAAGAAAGGGTAATAGATAAAATGGCAAGAAAAAATGCCTGACTTGTATTTTAAAATGCAATGGTAAATAAAAAAAAAAGAAATTATTTGAATCTTGAATCCAGCTGTCAGTTTTAGCCTAAGTGCTGAAAAACACTCATGACGTGCTCAAAATTCTTCTGTTAAGTGCAGTTGCCCTTCTCATTAAGTAGCTCCTAAACTCATATGTTTGTGCCATATGTCTTTGCAGAATATTTTAAACCCTGTGAACTGCAACTGAAAAGTTTGATTATTTTTTTCAATTGCAGGAGTTTTTTTCCAAGAAATCAGATTGTTCTCTGTTTCTCTTTGGCTCCCATAACAAGAAGCGACCTAACAACCTGATAATAGGTAATAAATCTCGCTTGGGTTTTTATTGGGATGATAGGTGTAGTTTTCAGTGAATATTTAAATAGCTGGATTTTCTTTTTTTACTCTCACAGGTCGCATGTTTGACTACCACGTGCTAGACATGATTGAGCTGGGCGTTGAGAAGTTTGTATCCCTAAAAGATATCAAGGTAAGGAATTGCTGTAAGGAATTCAGTATTTCAGCGACGCCTACTGGTGGATTTTTTTGTTGCAATTTTTTCTGCAATTTTCCTGAAATCAGTCAAGTTGTTTAAAAGAAGTGTTTCATGCAGTGTATGAGGATTGGCAATTTGTGTACTCTGGAATGTTAATTTTATGCTCTGCTTTTTAATTTAGTTAGGTTGGTCTATTCTGTCCCTATTGATCACATGTCACAGCACTTTTTCTTTCAGTGTTGAATGACTGGTAGCTATTAAATGAATTATATGTTCCCTGTCTGAATTTTTGTTGTTTTAAAATTCTTTTTCCACAGAACAGTAAGTGTCCTGAAGGGACAAAACCTATGTTGATATTTGCTGGTGATGTGTTTGATGTGAATGAAGAATACAGAAGACTGAAGAGCCTTCTTATTGGTCAGTGTTTCGATTATTTGGGCAGTAGGATTGCATGGATTTATAATAATATGATCTGTTGGGAAAATTTATTTTGTCAATAAATGCTTGCTTATGTTCAGCACAGAAGGAAAACAAGAATGAGCACTTGTAGGTTTCATGTCACATAAAATTAAAGTTTACTAATCGTGATGACTTTTAAAGGGAGAAAAAAAAATGCGCTTAAAGACTCTGAAGATGAAACTTCATATTCATCAGAGTTCATAAATTTGGTTGTGGGAAAACTGTCATTTTCCAAAATGTCTTGGCCTTCTAATTGTACTGGGTGGTCATTTTTCTAATCAAATAATGTTTTGAAGTATCTAAATTGAAATCAGTGGATTAAGTTCAGAAAGTGGGATATTTTTGCTTACAGAAAAGTCAAATCAGTCCAATTCAGCTTCTGTTTTTGTAATGAAAGCATTTTTGTTGGAAATTCCACCAATTCTAACAAGCGTGCTGTTGCTTAGGATATTTGGACAGAACAGGTGCAGTGAAAATCAGCTATAGATGTGTTGTGCCTTAACTTTAAGGCAGGCTTGGAACTTAGGAAACAAACAGGCATGACGTTTTTTATTATTTTAAAGTTGGAGGCTCTGGAAGATAAAGCACATTGTAGCTTTAAAGAAGCTATATGTAGACATAGAAGTTATAGGATATTGTGTCTCTTGGCACTTAAAAAACAAAAATGCTTCATGCTTGGAAAAAAATAGATCTAGTAAGTAGGGTGGAGTGATTTTTCTTCTTAAAAGTTATCCTAAAAGTAGATTAGGTTTTTTGTTGTTTGTTTTTTTGGTTTTTTTTAAGCTCTGGTAAAATACTGAACTTGTCCCAATAAGAACAGTCTTGTTCCATTCTTGGGTTTCTAGGTAAATGATTGCTCTTTAGAAACAGACCCCCTAAAAATGGGAAGTTTTTTCTGTAGTATTATTCCTTAAAGCAAGATAATTCATCTGGAATGAGACTGAAAGGGAGCAGGAGAGGAGTAAATTTTCTTCCTCTCAATACAGCTGATTGGTTCTTGGGGATGGATGAAAGGGTGGTAATGAGCTTATACATCTTTGAAGATGACTGAATGCAAAGATAAGTGAGTTTTACTGCTGCATGTTTGTGTCACTGTAAATGAGTATTTACACAGGAACCAGGTGTGTTTTCTGAAGTGTATCCTTGTTCAGGCATCTGCACAATGATGGGCATCCAGATGTGCTCAAGCAGCCCAAGATCAAACAGCTGAAGTGACAGATAGGCATAGTGAGATAGTTGCCAAATATCTGAGCAGTCCTTCCTATTTCTCTTGATGTTCACCTGTCTTTCTCCTCTCCAATTTGTTAGCCATTAATGACTTGGCAGTCAAATATACTCCACACCCAATCTTTCTTCTTGAACATATGCCAAGTACTTCAGGTCTTAATTATCCTACTGAGTTCTGTGAAACATCCAAATGCAAAACAATTGACAAAGAAAAAGGTTAAGGAGAATAAAGGCTTGAAGATGTCACTAACAAATTAAAGTTGTTTGGGTATGAATCTGACCTGCTTCAAAATTGCCCTTTACCAATAAGGAAGAAGTGACTTGCTCCATTTCTGCCAAAAGATGGTACCCTTAAGCTGCTACTCTTGCTAAGAAAGATACGAGAATTTATAGCAACAGCTGCAAATATTTTGTTGCTGTACCAGTATTGTTGGGGTCCCAGAGGGAATATCAGATAGCTGACAGCTTCTTGTTGCCAAAGCAGTGTGATGCCAGTCATGCTGAGGAACAACCAAGCTTTCATTGGCTTTTGTGATATCAAAAGGGCTTATGCATATCTGGACAATCATATTACAGCAGTTTCTTGGTGAAAGTAAGGGCAAGGGTGAATTATTGTCTTCATGGTAACCAAATGCTATAGTCTGGTTAAACTGTGAAGTGGAAGAAGCTGTTTAGGAGAAATAAATGACAGATACATTTTCTTTGGAGACCTGGAAGAGAAAGACATACCACTTTTTCTCTTGGTTTTCATTGCTCTCCGACATGGTAGTGCAGTTCATTGAAATGATGTAAGTCTTGGAATGCATTTAATGAAATTCTAATAGTTATTTATGCCTGCATCTATAACATGTTTCAACTCTTACAACACTACCTGTTTGTTGTTAGTTCTGTTATTACACATCTATTTTATCCTAAAAATGGCCAGACCATGATATGGCATGCTTATACACTTTCTAAAATGTTGGTTTGCACATTTTAGATTGGCTGTCACCTTGGTCTTCAAACAGCCTTCCTCACACAGACTCTATTTGAGTGTGAAAAGATTTGAGGGCTTTTTCTGGCCAGGAAAGGGGATGGCTGGGCAATGTTTAAACTGCATTCATGCTAACCAGGGCTACATAGAATGCAGTGTTACCAGCTTTTGGATACTAATTGATACAGAAGGAGTTAGATTCCAAACTCAATTAGGAATTGATCTGGAAATAGAAAGGTTCTGAAAAGCTCTCTGTATGAAAGAGTAAATTAAACTTTCTGGAAACATGTTTGAGGACAAGGAGGAGAGAGAACTAGGAATGGAAAGAAAGGCGAAAGCAGGTCTCTAGTCCAACCAAAGCAAGAGTTGTAAATTAAGAGTATGTTTAAAAAACTTCAACTCTCTGGGTGTACTGAAGTGTAAGGTTTCTGCAGCTGTTCGGTGTTGCCAGGAAACAAATTCCTGACCACCTGGGTTTATGGGAAGAGATCATTCTGTGGGCAAAAAGATGTATGATGCCACAGGAAAATATGAAAGGGAGGTGTTGCCAATAAAACCACTGTGAATGTAAGCTTGTGTACCTGCAGAGAACTAATTGAAGGGGAAAAAAATATGCCACGAGTGAACAAAATGTTTTATTTGCAAGTTTTCCTCTAACTACAAGTTAGACTTGAAATAAGAGAGTATTTAATTGACCAAGAAGGTTTCCTGGGCTTACTCCATCCGTTATTTGCCAGGCAAACTGTGTTTTGGATGTCACTCCAGTGCTGATACTCTTTCAAAAAGGTAGTGAAGGAAAAGACAAGTAGCCAAGGGATCTGAAAACAGAACATAGCAGAAAAGAGTGATGTGTTTTGCATCTGTTAGCAGTTCTCCTCTGTTTCAGCATTGCTCTGTCATGTTTATTAGCACACCTTGTTCCCTTGCTCAAGGTCACATTCTTTCTCCACCCTCTGCATATGTTGGACAGATTGCTGTGCTCATTGTGGGCTCTCTGATTGCACAGTATATTTTCATAGCCTGATATAAGAACCTTGCTAGAGGCAGCCCGTTTTGTATTTAACCCATATTTCAGTGTTCTCTTTGCAAATTGGGCAAGTATTTGAAGTGTCTTATTTTTGTAGATGTGTTGCTTATTAATAGAGAAAACATTAGACATAATGACAAATACTGCTTTATGTAGAGGACAGAAGTACCTTGTTGTGAGAGAGATATGAAAGAAATTATATATCTCAACTTTTTCCCAAAGTTGGAGAGAGAAAATGTAGGAAGAATAGTCAAGGTGCAGTTTTGACCTGCTCTGTACTGGTTTTGATCCCTCTTTCTACTGTTCCAAATCTGTCTATGATTAAGATTTAAGTATGAGGTTTGAATGATGTCTTTAAACAGATACCTGAGGAAATGGCTTCTCTGTACTGATCTGTGTTTGTCTGAGCATTGACTGGCCTAAACACCAAATAAGATAATTTTTCCCCCTGATTTTAGAGATGAATATTTAAAACAACAGACAGTGCAATTATTCACATTAGCTCAATAATGCTACATTACTTCTCTGAAAGTGTATTTGCTCTTTTCCATACACTTGTGTATAGGAAGTATGTATATAGGTAACATGTATATTCCTGCAAAATTATCTCTGGAAGTCACTGTACTCCTGTCAGGATATCCACATACATTTGGATTCACCAGTGCACACCAAAATGTGCGATGTTAAATTTCTGTCCTGTGTATTGGCCAAGCTGCAGTTTTAAGTAGGGTTTTTTTGTGAGATTCCTGTTTCAAAATGGGCCCATATCACATCACCAGTTTGTTACAGGTATCTGTTGGTTTTATTTTCAGCCAAGAAACATGCCATTTTTTCCTTTTAAATACTCTCTCAGATTTCTTCAGAGGTCCCACTGTGCCCAGTATTCGTCTGGCTGGTTTAGAGTACGTTCTGCATTTCACAGCTGTAGATGGGAAAATTTACATGAGAAGTTACAAGTGAGTATCTATTTTATCTATTTGTCTGGGTTTTGGTACACTTGTCAACTTTAATCTGTAGTTGTGAAATTGAACTGGCTTGAGCTGCATTTAGAACATGCTATGTGTAGAGGTGCTCCAGTGTAATTTGTACAGCAGAAGACAAGCACTTGAGCCCTAGGTCTGCTGCCTCCTTCCTTGTCGAGCTCCTCCGGGCTCAGGATTGCTCTTTCATATGGCTCGGCTGGTAAGGTGGTGTGAATTAACTTAGTGAATTCTGGGTGCTGCCTTAGACTTGATGGCCTTAGTCTGTTCTGATGATTTCTACAGCTCTTCATTTAGGTGTTTGCCAGGGAACAACAGGAGATAGGCTGCACAAGATAAACCAGCAAAAGGCAGGACAAGGATATCTATCTTGTTGCATTGGTGTTCACCCTCACAGTCACTCCCTGCCTTAGGAGACTGTGAACATTCATAGCTTGTGTTCAATGTGATTTTGATTTCTATTAATACAAAATCATTTTAACCAGCCTCATTCTTAAAAACAAAGAACCAAAACACTTTATTCAGATAAGTGTTCAGGTTATTTTGCTATAAATTATAGTGAATATTTTTATGTCTAATCATACCCAGGGTACTGTTTTGATTTTGAAAAGTAATATAGATTTCAGGGTACTGGGGCTGAATTTTAAAAGTGATGCTGATTATACTGGTCATGTTAAAAAAAAAAAAACAAAAACAAACTACATTAGCTAGGTCATATTTTGGATGTGTTCAAATTGTAATGGAACTAATTTATTATAAATTGTTATTGATGGATGCCTTTCCCAATGATAGAATTAGTGGTAGCAGTTGATTTAATAGTATTTTGAACTGCAGGATTGAACCTGTTAAGGAGATGGATACATCTCTAGCACAGGAGACAATGTTGATTTGGGTTGGTTTTCTCCTCCTAGAGTGCTTCTGAAGAAATCTGGCTGTAAAATACCCAGAATTGAACTGGAAGAGATGGGACCTTCATTAGATCTGGTTATGAGGAGGACACATTTAGCCTCAGATGACCTTTATAAGCTGTCTCTGAAACAGCCAAAAGGCCTGAAGGTATGTACCTTGGGAAGGGCATTGTTTTCAGATCTCTCTGTGAAGAAGAGCAAAGGCTGAAGTATTACTTGCTGTGTGTTTGACCAGAGCTTACTTTCACCGAGGCCAGCTGACATTCCTGGGGCCACAGTACTTCTGTGGTGCTCAGCTGGCAGCCAGGCTCTGCTCTAGAAGCACACAGAACACACAGCACAAATCTTAGTCTCTCCAGCCAATGTATGAGGCCTTATTTTTGGGTACTTCTCACCAGAGCTCCTGGGATTGTACTCAGAAATATTAACATTGTTCTTCCCTTACAGCCCAAGAAGAAAAAGAATATCTCCCATGATGTGCTTGGTACAACTTATGGTCGAATCCACATGCAGAAGCAAGATCTTAGTAAACTGCAGACACGGAAAATGAAAGGCTTAAAAAAGAGGCCAGCAGAGAAATCAGCTGAAGATGGTGTGGCTACTCCCAAAAAGTCAAAGTCAGCTTGATAGTCTGGGACTGCTTTGAAAACTCCTTGTACTTTCAAATTTAGAATATATGTTGTAATATAAATTGTCAGACATTAAAGATTGAGCTGCTGTTAGGTTTAGTTTTGTAGCAAAAAAACTTTCTAATACTTTGTCATTTTAAAGGGAACATTGGGGTATTGAGCTTTAACATGGAGCTGGGTTATTTAAAATTAAAAAAAAAATGATAAAATTTTCTTAGTTCTCCAAAGCTGAGTGTTTGTTTCTTGGTATTAGCAATATGTGGGAGTCAAACAGGTGACTCATTTCCTGTTCAGTTTCACAGAGTGAATTTGAATGGTTTTAAAATTTTAAAATTCATCTGGTTCCAACCCCCTTGCCATGAGGAGGGACATTTTCTACTGGACCAGGCTGCTCAAGGCCTCATCCAACCTGAACACTTGAGTCAAGTACCCAACTTGAACACTTCCAGGGATGGGGCATCCCCAGCTTCTCTCAACAACCTGTTCCAGTGCCTTACCAGGCACACACAGAAGAATTTCTTCCTAATATTCCCCATGCTTTGTGCTTTTAACATAGAGGCATTTAAACTGTGTCTCCAATGAAGCAACTTGCTGGTGGGAGAGGCTTAAATACCTCTGTGCTGCCCTTCAAGTGCTCTCCTGCTGATCTGCAATCCCTCTCCAGGCTTTGGGCCTCTCTTGGACATCAAACCAGTCAGAGTGGGATGGATTGAGGTTCCCTTCCCCCCTTCCTATACTTTATATAAGAAGTAATAAGCTTTAGTTTTATTGCTGTTTTCTTGGGAGCCCTAGATCAGTCCTTACACATTCTGTGCAAGACCAGAGCAATGAATGTGTGTAATATTATCTGCATAATATTATAATAAATGATATATAAATACCGCAATAAATGAACAACTTTTCTGCTCATTTATTGTTCATGTATTTCAGGCTTTGCACAACTGCAACGTTCAATACATTTTCTGAAGTGTGAGCTGAATGCATGTGTGATGGCCAGGCTTTGCTTCTGACTATTGCACTGGCAGAAGTGGGAGTGCTTAAGGTGCTTTTTACTGTGGTCATCACCATGGTAGCAAAGTACCTGATATTTACTTTAGGCATAAATGAAACCTTTACAGGTTGAATTTCAATCTTTGCTGCCTGATTTGTGCCCAGAATGGAAATATGTGAAGCAACCACTAAAGGTCAATTTTTTCAGATATTTTTTCTTCATACCCTGCTTTCCTCCCAGTTTTGTGCTCATGAGTTAGTGCAGACTCAGCTAGACTTGTATAACAGGGCTGAGAGTTTAAGAGTTTAATGAGACTTTGGTATAGTGTTCTGGTTTTGGAACACACTGAAAAAACCTAGGTTTTTTAAATTCTGATTGTCTCTTTGGAAGCTGTTTCTCTGCCCTTTAAGCATAATTGTTATAGAAGTATACATACGTTACCATGAACACAACAAACTTGCTCATCCTACTTATGTTTTTAATACTTTTCTTGCTAGTTTTCTAATCAGCTGAAGTGTCACATCAGAAATAGGTGGTTTGTTATTTTCAATTGTCTTCTGCATCCTGGATGGAAGTTGTTGGGCAGCTTTGCTTTCCTTATGGGAGGGCTGAGCTGTAGCTGCAGCTGTGCAAATGCCACCCATGACATTCTTGCAGTGCTCATTTGATAAAATTTGTAGTGTGAAAAAGGAAGGGTTTTTAAAGTTTGGGTTCATTTGGGGGGCACAAACATATTTATCATCAATGTATTTGCATGGCTCTCCCCAAACTCTGATCTATAACCATGTGTTTGAGAAATTGATTCCATAAACTTCTTCAGATTTGTATTTCCCACTGTATCTTTCTGAAGTACAAATCACTAGGCTTTTGTCTGAAAGCTGTAGAAGAACCATATTAGCAGGCAATGCTGTCTTTTAAAGGTTTGAGTTGTAGAAGTAATAGCAAAATACTATAAATTCATAAAAGCATGCCCATAGTTTAAAAGACTGTAATTTTCCAGATTTTCCTAATTTGGAAACTAATTTTGGTGCTTAAGTTGGATTTTAAATCTTTACTTTTTAGCAGTAATGTAGACCATCAATAATCCTGTCACCTCTTAAAGTAAAAAGTGTAACTTGTTCAGTAGGAGCCCTCAGAGAGAAGCTGTTGTATCCTGGTGTGGGGTTTTTTAATGCTGTTGCTGGTTTGCTCCTTGTATGAAGAGGAGCTTTGGACAGGTTAGGGCTACTGCACCTTCCAACACCTGAGTATGGTTACTTAAAACTTCAGGGGGCAAGAAGTCCTGGAGCATAGGAAATCAGTCAGTGGGGAGAACCCAGATGCATTTATTAGCCCTTTGCAGGTGGAATTTGAAGTGCCTGGTGTCCCTGACCTGTGGCTGTTTGTGTGAGTACCCTGTTTGTTTGAATGCCCTTTAATACATATCTTTTTGTACTGGTAAAACACAGTTACATGGGAGACAGAATGTGTTAGATATATGAGGCAAAGATATTTAGGTTATGCTTTTTCATGCCAATCACCTTCAGGTTTTATTGTTAGCAAGGATTAAAACTTACTGTATTTCTGATAGATACTTTGTACTACTCAAAGTAGTGCCATTTTGGTGCAAAATTTTGAGTGTGAAGTGGAAATACTCTCTTGTTATTCATAACAGAAAGGAACAGCCCTGATCAACGGACACCCTTTGGAGAAGTTTCAGCCTTGCTGTGAAGCACTGATAAAGCCACAAGGTTGGTGGCTGATGCGATTTCAGGGGTTCAGCAGGTACAACCACATAGCTGCTCCATAGGCAATGGCTGTATTCCCAGTATCTGATTTAATTCGAGGTGAGTGGTGATAGGAGGGCTAAATATAACCTTTCAAGTAGAATGCTCTTATTTCCCAGATTTTTTCAAAGTGTAGGGAAATTTCTCTGTAGCTGCGTGCGTTAGGAACAGAACGTGCAGTACTCAAAGGGCAGCTGATGAAAGGTGCTTGCTCTGCCTCAATTGCTCCTTGCTTCCAGAGCTCACCAGGCTCTAAAAACACCTAAACATGGCCTCAGGGGTTGCCTGGCATAGGCAAGGCATAACAGGCTTGTTCATCCCTTTCCTCTGGCTTTCATCTTCCCACCTGGCACACAGGAGTCAGCTTTATTTATGGGTTGAGCCTAGTAATAACTCTGGTTTGAAGCAAATACATGTGGGCAAAGCGTGGCTCCTGAGGCTGTGCCTGTGCAGGAAGGTGAAGTTGCAAATAGTCAAGCCCACACTCTCTTTAGTCTAGCTGGCAGGATGGCAAGGGCAAGGAGGGTAAAATTTGTGCCTTCTCTAGACCCCTGGTCTCTATGCTGATGCTTCCCAGTTGTGCTGCTTGTGGCTTTACTGCTACTGTTCACTGGCCTCCTGTCATTATAAATAACTGATGATACACGTATAATATACAGCCTACCTGCAGTTTAAGTATTTTTGGCTTTTTTTAGGTGTGGTGGAATTATAAAAAGTAGGAAGAAAGGTAGATACTGAGTGCTGAAACCTGCTGAAACCTTGGGATTCCCACATTTTTGGGTATCTGTCCTGGATGCACATAATCACAGCTTTAGCTCTCTGTTAGTATAATGTGACAGACCAAGTAATGAGAGCAATGGGTAGTGTGTGTTTGAAAAGAGCATATGAACTCTCTTCCTGGGTTTGGTAGGTTTGAGCTTATCTTTACAGTTCCTTAGCAACATTATTTGTTTTCAGTAAGTGCTTTCTGGGTCTGATTGTGAAGGTTTCCCTCCACCACTTGCTTGGTTGCAGCTGGAGAGGGTTAGAAAAGAGCATGAAAAGAGGACATGGCAGACACATCGAGTGTCACACTGACTGCTGCATCCTTCAGCCAGGGGAAAAAAGGCTTATTCTAGATGCTATCTGATATAAGGGAGGAACAGGGTAAGGAGACTAGAGCAGAACTCTGTTAGAGATGTTTTCATTATTAAAGAGAAGAAAGTGGAAAATGTTAGCTGTGCATAATATATATAACATAGCCATACATAATACATGTTAACATGTGTATTACACATGGTGCAGAGTTCTCCCCTGCTCCCCAGTGCAATTTATCTCCTCCCTCTGAACTTTGCTAAAGTGCCTCTAGCAGTACTGACACATCCCAGATGCAATCCAAAAACATAGCTGAGAAATGGGTCAGTTGCATCACAATCAGGTTTCCTGAAAATATACAAGGGAAGGAGACATGAGGCTGATGAATGTGAAGTCTCTGTAGGATTGCCTTTCTAGATGGATGAATGTTTCAAGTTAGGAATATAACTAACACTATATAGGAGCCTTTACAGAACATAGTGAAAAATTTGTAAGTAATCTGGGATTTAAATTTGTCCTAGATAACATGGGCATAATCTACTCAGGGCAGTCAGTGAACACAGCAGATGTTCTCTGATCAAGACATTTCTAAGGCATCTCTTCTTCATTTCTTGTTTTGTTCGACTTTTGGTGATACTCTGTTTACTTGATCTTCCCCCCCACTCTGCTTCTCTAAGATAAGTGCAAAGTAATTCAGGGGAAGTAGACACAAAGTTTTTAGTAGAACTTAACAGGGAGTATGCATGGTTAATGACAGAATCTCATTTTCTTCCAACTTTCCGCCTTGATAATCCCATAATTCTTTCTGTGATGCAACACCACACCTGTGAAATCTGGTTTCTCACTCCATCCACGATCCCGAAGTATGCCCATATAGGGCCTCTCTTCTGTTTTGATTGTTGCAATTTGTTCCTCTTGACTCCTTTCACCCTCACAGCCTCCAAAACAAACATGACAGATCTGCAGTGCCCTTTTTCCACTGTTTGCCTTCTTCCACTGGCAAGAAGTTGAGTTTCTTGTCTTGTATTGTTTATGCACAATAAACTGTAGTTTTCGCATATACAATGCTGCAATGCAAAATAAGGTGAACTTCAGAATCCAAGTTTCTCTCCCTGTTTCCCAGCATTTAGATGTATTCCCTGGAGAAGGCAGCTCTCAGCAGGCATGCAGTGAAAGGGCTGTCACATAAGGCAGAGCTCTGTGATCAATTCTAAGGCTGCTTTAGGCACTGGCATTATTTCTTCCCCTTTTAAATGCACAAAATTAAACGATTGATCTCTACTGCTGGCCTCTAGGCAGGAGAATTACTGATGCAGCAGTATGCCCAAGATCGTGTGTTGCCAAAAGATAGTTTAAAACCCCTTTCCCTCTCCACTTGTTTTTCAGATAAATGCAA